CTATCGCCGCCGACCAGCAGGAGCCACTCACGCCCAATCACTTCCTCATTGGAACCGCCTGGAAGATGGTGAATCAGGATGATTCACGGGGGGTGGGGTGTCATTAAACGATTCCTTAATGCAACACTGTGTCTAACTCTTAAGTATTCTGTGAACCTTGTAATTTTTGTTATGTGGCAACTTTGTGAACCACGATTCCTTTTCGAAATGGCATTCGTTGATTCAAAGCCGATAGAGACGGAACCGCGGTAAGTGAATTCTAGAAAACTGATGTGAAATTATTCTGTATCCTTAATAAATATATGTCATTTGTTCTTACACAGAAATAAACAATATAAATCCACGCAACGCGATGCAATGCACAACAAATGTGTGAGTTTAATTTTTGCAGTCTCTGAAGAATCAACAATATATAAATGTGAATGTCAGTTTGTTTATTACCTTATAACTTTTAAACCGCGACACGGAATCGCACGAAACTTTGCACACTTATTTGTTTTTACCTCGGGAAGGTTATAGGTATGGTTTTGTTTGCAAATGTAGTGTCAGTTTTGCGAGGAGGCGTGACGTGCAAATTTTTAATCAGCTATAACTTCGGAACCATAAATCACATGAACTTTAAATTTGGTATGCAGACAAATCTATGGTAGATGCTTATAGTGAGGTATATATATATAAATTACTTTGTAGGAGGGGCGTGGCATATCTCATATTCGTGGAATGTTTTATCAACCACAACTCCGGCACCACAAGTCACATGACTCCTTTAATACCTTTGGATATGCCTTTCGAATTTAAAAGACTTCAATACAGTTTCCTGCTATCGCGGCTATAGTAAAATTAGAGCAGAAAGAGAGTATAACATCTTTACATAAAGTATTTTTCATATCTGTATAAAGACGTGGGGTGAAACCCGCGGGTAAAAGCTAATCTCAGATAGGGGCAATTCACTAAGCCTTGCATGCAATATTCATCTGTTCCTGCACACGCTTTAATTTTGTGATAAACTCTCCCGCACACACCTTCACAGTGCACACCACTTTCCGCTCTAATGCCTTTTCGGCACCTGTAGCAATCGCCCATTGTTATATATTCTCATACTGCAACTCCGTTAGTGTAGATTTTTTCCTGATTCGTTTTGTTTTCTTTTTTTTTTTGTTTTATATGTTGATTCTCTTATACGACTTCACTGCGCGGGTGGGCTTTAGTAGTGACTACTAAAGCCCACCCGCACCTTGTGTTTTAAGAAAACCAGGTGGAATTAACAAATGAAACTTGGTCAGGATGTTAAGGGAGGTATCCTCTAAAACATGTATAACTAAAAAATATAAATAATATCATTGTTTATAAGTTATTTGTTGTTAAAATTTCTTAAGTCGTTCCACTTGGTTTCCTTAACAAAAAAGCATTTGTGCATACTTTTATATATATAAATGCACATAACACTGTACTTAATACTTTACACGCTTTTCTTTTATTTTATCTTGTATATAATTCACTTTAATTAAACTTTTATCGACTTGTAAATTACATTGAATTTCACGCATATTTACAATAACACATGGTTGCAAACTGACACATAACATGTGTTGCCATATTGTACAAAACAATACATACAAAGAAGGCAATGATTAAAAAGGAATACAGGGGAAATCAATACAAAAGAAAATGTTCAGC